TTCTTCCCATGTGTATAAACATTCACAAATTGGCTGATGGTATTCATGAATAGAAGACTGCAGAGCTTGGGCAATTATTGGCACCAGCTGGCTGCCTGTTGTTTTATCTGTGGTTCCTCGGCGATTGTGAGATGTAATTCGCATGAACGACGCAAGCATGCACAACTAAACAAATATTGTGAAAACATAGTGCAGTGAGGAGATGCGCACTTGCGTTTACTCGTACGTCTTTTGGTCTTCCGTGGATGGGTTGCAGGTGTACAGGCAGCAGGTGACTCACAGCAACCCTCTCCAAGCAGCCAATCCGACAGCTCACGCTCACCCCCAGCCCCTGAAGGCGTCGCCTCAGGCCGCGGAGCTCAGACCTGAAGTGGTGCCGGCCGTGGTGGTGCACACCGGAACCGCCGTCTGCGCTCTGGCGCAGCCGGACTCGGAGGACGCACCGCCAGCGGGGGCCTCCGAGTCGCTCTCCTCCGCCGCCTCCACCGCCACGCTCGCAAAGGAAGAGCAGGAGGGGGCCCAGCCTCCGCAGCTACCGAAGGATTGCATTGCAGCGACATCCAAAAAGAGAAGGGCTCGCAAGCCGGCAAATTTGGCCGTTAATTTTGGAGGCCAAATGCCAAAATAGGTGCGTACACCAGCGCCGCGTGGAACGGTCCGTTCTCGAAAGGCAGGCCGGTGACACAGGGCTGCGGTGGAGAGCGTGGGGTAGAGACACGGTGGTAGCGAGCGGAATAACGACTGGCGAGGCGCATGCTTGATTGAAGACTCTGGAAGAGTTGGCTTGGGTGCGGAATAACCAAGACTTAGACGAGTGTTGGTAGAGATGAGTAAATGAATGCAGTGTGAAATAAAACTCGATCTTAGTATTCTACACACTAGAGTGGTTCATGGGGCCCATTGTATTTGGTGATTGAGGACAGAAATGTGTTGCAACTTCCAGAAAATAACTCAGAGTTTTCAGAGTGCCTGCCATTTTAAAAGACTCTTTGTAAACCTTAGTGCATCGTCTTCTTGCATTACAATGCAGATACACCGTGCTCGACTTGCTGGCTTGTGATTAAAATCAAACCCACAGTGTAATACTTTGAATTGTTGCTCGACGGCTGGGGATGTTGAAAATACTAAAAGCACAGCAACATTTTCAACAATGGGCTGGAAATTTTGGACTTAAGTTACGTTAGTGTTGACAACAAGCTGGAACATATTTTGAGCCCCATTTAATGCCGAGTTAACCAGAGGTCTCTTCAGCAGAGTATCGCAGCAGCAGCGGTGGCGGTCGTGGCGGGCGGAGTGTTGGAGCAGAGCAGCAGTGGAACCACTTAGTTGAGTGTGGCTCACTTCCTCACTGGGGGCGCTCGCAGACGAGCGACGCCGGCAGAACATCACACCACACAACCGCGTCTCCTTCACTTGACCAGGAGGTGTAGTATAACCCGTTGAGACACGCCCGAACCTCATTAACTCGTTTGCAAGGGATATTAAGGGCGACTTGTTTCATTTTGTAGAATCGTTTAGGTCTGGTTGTATATAATGATACGTGCAGGATTCATAGTTGATGTTTGGGTAAGGTCACTTTAATGATCTGGCCAAATTTGTATAATTGAGGGCTCCTCCACCACCAAACATAGTCAAACAAATTAAAATCGTAATTCAAAGAACAACTCTGACAACCAAATTCACCATTTAGATATGCAGCGTTTCGCTTGAAACTACGTCAAGCATCATCAGGTTGACATGCAGGAAGTCTGGACCCAGATCATTACACGTGGCCTCTAACCCATATTTGCTGAGAAACCTTGCGTGTCAAGTTCATATGTGCATATTTAACGCAAGTGAAAAATCTGCCAAGGTGCTTCAATAATGAGTGAATGTTTTTAAAATGTGTTTGGCGTTTTAAAATGTTCCCCTCTGTAAGGCTCATGGCACGCAGAGCAGGAGGTTGACTGGAGTGCTTGCACACTCCGATTACCTGTTGTCCTTTTTAAATTGCCAAAATGTAATTTCCATGAATTGGGTTAACATGGCCATACTTTTTATTTCAAACATATTAACTTAGTTTACTAATTGCATAAATTGTGCTTGAGTGATCTCATTAAAACTTTTTACATAATTTCTCGAATAAATTGATTACCACCTACTGGTTATACCGTTTCACTGGTTGTATTTTTAAATAAGTACTTCAAAGCGTGTCATTTTTGCCTAAAATGTGTTGCACATGTCGTATAAAATTAAAAAAAAACTCTTAACACATTCGAATGAACATTTATTTGGGAGAGTACGACTTCATTGTGGCGGGGGCGGGGGGGGGGTTCATTGTTAAGACAAACATGACGCTACCGCGTCCCCGTAGAGGGAGACTGCCGCTCAACGTTTGAACGCGTCAGACTCGCTGGGTTGGGACTCCGCGCGACAGTCAACATCGCCCACTGACCGGCAGACCGATGTGACGCTAGCGTGCCGGGTGCCTTGTTATCTTGTGCCGCGCACGGACAGCTGCCACTGGGAGTGCCCTGCAACATGCGGTGAGATGAGGTGGTGTAAGGCGCTGCTTATGGCTTGCAAAGCCCAGTTGCGCACGGGAAAGGTGTTCTAATCATGGATCCCTGAGGTGCAGTTTAATTTGTGTTGCTGTAGTGGACGTGGTGGCTGTGTAAAATACTGTTTCGCAGGTTCTGTGCCTACTTGGTTTCCTCATTGAAGTGGTCATTTAAAAGCGCACATCGGGTGATGGCGATATCCGCGCGGAAGTTTGCTCAAGTGCTTTTTTCGGTTTGGTGGTCTTTACTTTTAACTTTTTGTGCGTATTTGTTGGTATGTAAATGAAACTGCATCAGAAGTGTGACCATTACACGTGCTTTTAAATGTTTAAACTCGTGGGAGAGAAACATTTACATGAATAATCCTAAGCTTCAGTTTAAACATTATAAATAAATGTAATCATTGTAGTCCGATGGCTATTTTTGTAATTACGTTTTTAAGATTAAACTGATGATCTCAGGAATCTGAAATAAAGTTATGTCATCTTTACAGCTTTCATGATGTTTTACATATTTGCTCGCATATCATGTCTGGCACGAATGATCGATTTCGTCCTCGAGTGTCCAATCAACAAGACAAACACGTCCCAGCTTACCCATCGTCCGGTTACCCGCCGTTTTATAATGAGGTCACGTGGACAAGTGATTATTGGATGATTTAACACGTAGGCTTCCGCTAACAAATATGATCCATAATAGAGGTTTTTGGATCGCGTAAATATATAAATGTCGTTAAAACCCGCCGCCACCCGACACAGCCAACCTGTAAGGGTTGTCACGTAAGCAGGTGGCCAATTCGTCACTTGTACAACACACCGATGTGTTGGAGAGCAAAGCCACACCATCTACAATCTGAGTACGACGTTTCGCCAGTAATTACAACTAGCTTCATCAGGCGAAAGACAGATTTGTGAAGAAGTCTTACTGTTTCGTTCCTTATATTGGACGAATGATCAGCACGAGACTAAAAGAACAGAAATATTAAATTCTCCCAAATACAACTGTCAGCAGGAGCAGAACAGGCGTGCCAACAAGGACACTCAATTGATTTTGATAATGTTGAAGTTTAGTGCAAAACTAGCTACTGCTGGCCAAGACTAATTAGAGAATTATCGAAATTGAAAGAAATCTAAATAACTTTAACCGTTCGGACAGCTACCGCCTTAGTGCTCCGTGGAAGCGAATCATCAAATAATACATTATTTAAATGCATGCCTACAAAGGGCAGCGTACTTCAATAGGGATTACCGTTGGTAGGGCTATTTTAATAAACATAGTAAACAGGAAGGACAAGTTCAAAGGGCTCGCATAATGCACATACATAATGTACGCTGTCTCAGTAATCCCCCCCCCCACATTGTGCAAGAGCACAGAAGCGTGGTCACCATGTCTACGCCTCTATATAAGGAACGAAACAGTAACTTATCCAGAAATCTGGCTGTCGCCTGATGAAGCTAGTTGTAATTACTGGTGAAACGTACTCAGATTGTAAATGTTGTGGCTTGGCTCTCCAACACACCGGTTAGTGCTGTACTAGTGACGAATTGGCCACGTTCTGTTTACGTGACAACCCTTACTAGTTGGCTGTGTCGGGTGGTGGCGGGTTTTAACGACATTTATATTTACGCGATCTAACCCAAAAACCTCTTATGGATGAGTATTGGATGTCAGCTTCAATAACCGATCTGCGCTCGATTGGGTTTTAAGAACGTGACAATTTAAATATCGTATTGGAGAACACGTTTACGTGAATCCTAATAAACCGCAAAGTGGTCACCCGGTGGTTTGCCATACATTGGTTTGCAAAGGGGTCTTCGCTCGTCCTGCCTACGTCTTCCTCATGCGCCGCTTTGTCCTGCGGGACGAACGAGCTGGGATATCAGTGGCGTTCCGTTGGGACGTCCAAGTCACCGAACCTCAACGGTTAACACCTGAGGCACGTCGGGCCCGTGTCACTTGAGGGCCACGTGCGTTATGAAGAGCTCTTAAGTGAAACGTGATCAACGCGTTTTGTACGCTTATGCTTCGCAAAATTACGAGAGAATGGTCGCCTCAAATATGTCCATGTTGCTCCAACGTTTTGCACCGTCGTAATAGGACACTCGTTAAAAATGTTAAGAGAAGCGGAGTGAGAGCGATCGGTATGTTGGCTGTGGGGAGAAGTCCTTTCTGCTCGAGCCCACAGGGCTTGGTTTCCACTTCCTACTGTGTATGGCGTGCAGAGAGCAACTATATGAAATTTAAATTGTGATTCAGCCATTATGTTGTTTTGTCCGAGAGCTGGCGAATGGCAGATCCACCCATCCACCACCGTCACGTGTATATGTTTGGGGCAGTGTGAAGTTACACGGCCCCTGGTTTTGGAGTTTATATCCACAGTCGCACACAATAAGAATTGTCTGAATTCATTGAGACAGAAAAGCTACGGATTGTACAACAGCTGACCCCCGATGAAACCCATTTATACCAACGTTTAAGTTTATTGAAAACCATCTAAACAACTTTTAATTACAATCTATTTTTGACTCCGCATAAATCAGAGTTTTTAGTGTGGAGACATTGAATAGTGGGGCAGCAGTACCGTGAATTACACAGACGGAAAAACGCTGCCGAGTAGTTTGATAGTTCATTTAGGGGCAGGAACAACGTGAGCGTTTCAGCAGAGGGTAACTGCGTCCAGAGGGCAGCACGGGGAACCGCCGTGCTTCCCCATGCGTCTATGCAAGTTTAATGTGCACGTGGATCGTGCCGTGCACAAGCACCGCTACATCACGTTGCCAAGTGTGCAAGCGCTGAGCATGTGGAGAACGCTCGCACGCATCGCGCCCAAAGCACTGCGCGCGTGTAGAATGTGCGTAATGCTGAGCGTGTGTGGCAGTGTGTGAATGCGTGTAAGTGTGCGCGTGTGTAGAACTCGTGCTCTGCGCCAAGTTGGAGTCAGCACAGCTGCACTTTAAGCCACCAGAGTAGGAGTTTAACTTTACTTTTTAACTTTCACCACCTCGGAGCTTGCCAGTGCCAACACCTTATCAGCTGACCCTGCAACACAACAGAAGCGATGATCACCACCAGAAAGTATCACCGCAGTACCGTGCCCCGTGCACACAGCCTCCAGAGAGATGTCAGGGCAGTGAGGCGGTTCGTTAGCGCATTCGCCGCAGCTTTCAGTGCTTTATGATTCGATTCGGCACGCCGCTCCGGTTGCCACTCAAGTGTCCATTCACCGTCGAAGACTACGCATCATGCTGCACAGTGGATGCCAAGGAAATTCTGACGTCATTTGAAACGAGGAGGCTGTAGTGTGTCGGCGTCTTGAACCAAATTTTCTCAATTCGAATCATGAACACTGCAAATTCCTCACGGTTGGCTAGGTACGGTGCGAAATAAGTTCCACATCCACGCAGCGATCATCACCGCCTAGTGGCAGACGAACGCATGCTTGCAGGCCGGGTGCTGAGATATGATGCTACGTGTCGCATGTAAAACGCCACTTTGAGACACCCCCGGCTTCCAAAAACGAAATATTATATTTGAGAATTGATTTTTAACGCTGGAGGTGACTTTGCTCACCGAGGTCGTCGGTCACGCGCTCGAGTTGGCTGAGGGCCGCCGAGGCGTTGGCCGACAGGAACGCCTCCTCCTCGGCGCTCAGCTGCGAGAGAGAACGCGACGGTCCTAACAAACAACACTCGGCAGGAGGCCGCTGCCTCACGCATTTCACTGTGGATCCTGATATAGGAGTGTTGTGCTGAGGCACAGGGTTAATATTTGCTTAAAGTACATAACTTTTAAGAGGCAGCAAAATTCATGGCAGCAAGATTCAATGTGTAATTTTTCATAGTTACTTGAAATGCAATTGTGTGTTTATTAAACACAAATCCAGAAATGGCCAACGCAAGAACATGCTATTTTAATGTGCAGTGTACATTGCATGAACGGATATTGTAATGACACTCAAATATTCATAATAAAAATGTTGAGGCGAGGTTATTCCTGGGTTGCGCCGTCACTTAAGCGACGACCGCAGGCATGACACAGGATGGGGGAGGAGTGGGGGGGATTAATATCACCATCCTTACCGCGTCGCCGAGTTTCCGGAGTGCCATGAGAGTTTCAGCCTTCTGTAACGAGTAGACATCTCTTGGGAGCTTACCCACCAGCACGTCTCTCTCCAACTGCAATCCACAGCGCAGTGTAGTGCGAATGCAGTCCTCCGTGTTATTCAGTCGTCACAAAGAATTCGAGAGATTTACTGAAGGCAGCGGTCTCAAACAGCAGCTACCCCAGCGGTAAGCTCACTTACCGTGACAGGCCCTACTAATGTCTTTGCCACGTTACGGTGCAATAGAAACTGTCACAATCCAGTTTGACTGTCATGCAGTGTGCTGCTCCCAAGCCGTGAGCATTAGAGGTCACTTGCAAGGATCTTTGACGTACAGTAAACCTTTGTTAATTCGACACATATGGGGCTCTAGCCTTGCCGAATGATCCAATATTCCGAATCATGTACAATGGTACATCCCAGTGCCTCCTGCCCCAATATGCAGGTGTTGCGCCAGACGTACTGCAGCGTGTTGAATGTCCACACCGCGAACGTTAACGCTAGGTGCACACTCCTGTTTGTACCACTCATACAAGTCAACAAAACGTTGCGGCCTTGATCCTCTTCTGTACCTATTTGGAGCTGCTAGGATCCTCCAAGGTTAAAGCATACTTCCTAATCTTCTCCCGGGCCTTTCTTGATGTCATAAAAGGTGCTTGATTTTACGTCAAACTCTTCACACACCATATACATTGACACACACCCTGCATTAATTCTACCCAAAACTTTGGATTTGTCTTGCAGACTAAGGGCGTCGCTCCACGTATATGCCGAAATTGGCCCATTCAGTACGGCAATACTGTATAGATGCCGAAAGCGCGGCCGTGCCGAATTATCCCCAATTACGAATGATCAAAGACCAAAATGACGACGTTATACTGTAATTCTGTGAGATCTGCTTCCACGGGCCGTTTCCAAACCTGGCGGTTGCCCTGCAGTGTGGGAGCCGAAGTGTTGTGTCTCATGACGTTAATAGTACAATTGGGTGAAGGGGCACGTTCATTCTCAATTCCTGTGGGCATCCACGAGGCAATGTCTGCAAGAAATTACCAAAATTGACTGAACAGACCACGGCATCCACCAATGCCAACCACCAATGACGACAACCAACGGTAACCACTGATGACAACCATCAACGATAACAACCAACGGCAACCACCAACGGTAACCACCAACGGTAACCTCATGGCGGCTGTGTGAGGGCTCACCTGGGCCATGTGTGTGCGGAGCTGGCCTGGCTGCTTCCGCGCAAACATCCGGATCACTTCTGGGGTTTGGAAAGCTTGACTTATTGCGGCCTGGATAGCCTGCGGGGTGACGCAACACAATACCAACGGGTTTGTCCCTCTTAGATGTCCCAATGCAAATGCTCCACAACCATGCGTTGCATCGATTAGACATTTAGTGAAAAGCACACATTTTAAGCAAGCAAACAGCTTCACAAAGTGGTTGGCAGTGTGTTGGTTGAACAGCCAGCGTTATTATTTATATTATGTTTATTTACCCAGAAAAGCCTCACCGAGTCCCAAGACTGTTTTTCAGGAGGGTCCTGCCAAGTTTTCTTAATGGGGAGAGGATTGCAATGTGTAATCCCAATTGAGTGAATTTAAGCTAATCTTTTTGGCCAATACCAAGCACACTATTTTTTTTCTAGCCATGAGAGCACACCGCAGAACCCGGAGAAAACCCATTCAGAAAAGAGGGAGAGAACGTACAAACTCCACACACGAAGATACCCGAGTTGAAAATCGAACCCAGGCCTTTGTTGTTGCTGTGAGGCGTTGTCGCCACTGCGCTGCCACCCTAATGAACGACATAGGACCCTGCGTGAATACGGCGGCGAGGGCGCCGGAAGAGCCCTAACTCGTCACCAGCTGCATGGCGCCCAGGTCGTCCACCAGGGTCATGTCGCCGGCGACGATCTTTTGCAGGGCGGTGTTGAATTCCGAGAGCTGCTCGAGCGTCTCCGCCTTGGTCTCCTCGTACTCCTCGGCCTCCATGTCCTCCCTGCACACGCGCGGCCAACAGCAACACCCGCTGGGCGCAGGGGGCACACCTCCACACGGCAGCCCAGTTTTCTGAATGCAATGATGAATTTATTTCAATTTTATATTATTTGTTTACTCAGGAAAGCCTCACCGAGTCTCAAAGGCTCTTTTTCAGGAGGGTCCCGTCCAGTTTTTTGCATGTAATCCCAATCGAGTCAGATCATTTTTCAGCATTCGGATGTTTTGGTAAATCACAGTCCCATTGTGTGTTTACTTTTTAGCTAAGGGAAGAAACCACAGAACCCGGAGGAAACCCATGAAGAACAGGGGGAGAACATCCACACTCCGCGCTGAAAGACACCCGATGTTTAACCTTAACAGACTGTTGGAGAATGTGCTTTGTCTTTGAGTGACCTTCTGCCAGCGAGGCTTTGAGACTTTACATGGCCTCAAGATGCACCTAGCCTGATACAAGCACCGTGGTGTGCTGGTCACCCACCCCTCGTGTGCCGTGCCAGCCTTCGCAGGCGCTCGCTAACAGCACTTTCCCCAACAGTCTGTTCAGGCCATATAGGGGGGGATCTTTGTCTACATCCGCAGTTCGTTGTCAGTCAACTGCTGGACGAGGGCCTCCCCACGCTGTGAGGGTCGTGGGGTTATTTGACCACGCTGGTCAGTGCGGGATTGTGAAGGCGAGGAGCATCGACGTGGGAGCGTAGCGTACAACAATGGATTTTGCTGCGCCGCCCTCGGGTGCCATGTGGCATGCATGGTGCCAACGCGTTTCAAAATCTGACGAGATCCGGCGCATTCCGGGCTATTTGGTCATCAGCTAATCATATAGATACGACGTTGAATAACGAAGAAAAAATCTACAGTGTTCGATGTAATATCCAAGCAAGCAGCATTCCGGTATTGTGGATAAGTCAACAGAGGTTGTACTGTGGAAGAGACTCGCTCCCGCCATCGGAATGGGTAATTTCCACCACTGGCTCAGAGCTGAAAACAGGAGATAAGCACCGCCTCAATGCTCATTTGAGAAGGAAATAACTTCCCAGTTTTGTATTCCTGCTTACGCGACCTCATCAGGCATGGCGCTCGGTCGAGAATGGGTAAGGCCAGGAGAATTAATATTTCGTTGTCAGAACGCCAATTGTACGAGCTGCGAGGGTTCGTGACGCCGCCGCCAGGATGCTGGCACAAGCCTCCTGCGGCCTCGAGCCTGCAGGGACAACGACGGCAGCGTTGGGGACGACGGCGTGGCCCAGGCCGCGTGCTGACCGGCACCGCTCCAGGTCGTGCAGCTGCTGCACCAAGCGATCCAGCTGCTCCTCCAGGTTCCGTCTCAGCTTGTCCGTCTCGCTCTTTCCCCGCGACGCCATCTTCCGCTCTCCTCCTGCAAAATAGGCCAACAAGGGATCTGTCCCGACAACGCTCAATCTTCAATGGTAGAAACGCTCTCGTTCTTTCACGGAAGAGCCGGCCGGCCCACCGGCCACAGCCACTGCTCTTACGCCGTCAACTCGTGCGGAATGGAGCCTCGGAGCAGGAGAGTCCTGTCAAGCAGCAGCCTGAGCACAGAGAATGCTCGTGATATCAGACAGGCTGCCATCGTAGTAAGATCCAAAATGCCGCCACAAGAAAAAAACTTTATGGGTGGCAACGTTAAAATATATACTATACTTTTGACAACTGATGTGCTAGTGAGAAGTCTCAGCTGCCATTAAACTTCTCTCCTAACTTAACTCACAGCTCACAGAGACTCACAGCTCACAGAGACTCACAGCTCACAGAGAGACTCACAGCTCACAGAGACTCACAGCTCAAAGAGAGATTCACAGCTCACAGAGACTCACAGCTCACAGAAACACTCACTGCTCACAGAGAGACTCACAACTCACAGAGACACTCACTGCTCACAGAGAGACTCACAACTCAGAGACACTCACTGCTCACAGAGACACTCACAGCTCACAGAGAGACTCACAGCTCACAGACACTCACAGCTCACAGAGATACAGCTCACAGAGAAACTCACAGCTCACAGAGAGACTCACAGCTCACAGATACTCAAAGCTCACAGAGAGACTCACAGCTCACAGAGAGACTCACAACTCACAGAGAGACCTCACAGGTCACAGAGACTCACAGCTCACAGAGAGACACACAGCTCGCAGAGAGACTCACAGCTCACAGAGAGTCCCACACAGCTCACAGAGAGACACACAGCTCACAGAGAGACTCACAGCTCACAGATACTCAAAGCTCACAGAGAGACTCACAGCTCACAGAGAGACACACAGCTCGCAGAGGGACTCACAGCTCACAGAGAGACACACAGCTCACAGAGAGACACACAGCTCACAGAGAGACACACAGCTCACAGAGAGACTCACAACTCACAGAGAGACTCACATCTCACAGAGAGACTCACATCTCACAGAGAGTCTCACAGCTCACAGAGAGACTCACAGCTCACAGAGACTCACAACTCAAAGACTCACAGCTCACAGAGAGACTCACAGCTCACAGAGACTCACAACTCAAAGAGAGACTCACATCTCACAGAGAGACTCACAGCTCACAGAGAGACTCACAGCTCACAGAGAGACTCACAGCTCACAGAGACACTCACAGCTCACAGAGACTCACAGCTCACAGAGACTCAAAACTCAAAGAGAGACTCACAGCTCACAGAGAGACTCACAACTCACAGAGACTCACAACTCAAAGAGAGACTCACAGCTCACAGAGAGACTCACAGCTCACAGAGAGACTCACAGCTCACAGAGAGACTCACAGCTCACAGAGACTCACAGCTCACAGACTCACAGCTCATAGAGAGACTCACAGCTCGCAGAGACTCACAGCTCGCAGAGACTCACAGCTCACAGAGACACTCACAGCTCACAGAGACTCACAGTTCACAGAGAGACTCAACTCACAGAGACTCACAGCTCACAGAGAGACTCACAGCTCACAGAGAGACTCACAACTCACAGAGAGACTCACAGCTCACAGAGAGACTCACAACTCACAGAGAGACTCACAGCTCACAGAGACTCACAGCTCACAGAGAGACACACAGCTCGCAGAGAGGCTCACAGCTCACAGAGAGACACATGGCTCACAGAGAGACTCACTGCTCACAGATACTCAAAGCTCACAGAGAGACTCACAGCTCACAGAGAGACTCACAGCTCGCAGAGAGACTCACAGCTCACAGAGACTCACAGCGACTCACAGCTCACAGAGACTCACAACTCACAGATAGACTCACAGCTCACAGAGACACTCAGCTCACAGATACTCACAGCTCAGAGACTCACAGCTCACAGAGAGACTCACAACTCACAGAGACTCACAACTCACAGAGAGACTCACAGCTGACGATCGGGGCTAACGCAATGACGGGCACACGCAGCTTCATCTGGTTGCACACACGTGCCTGGGTAACACTCGTGGGTTGGTGAATGGTAACACTCACGGGGTAACGCAGCCGCGGGGTAACGCAGTTGCGGGGTAGCGATGAACGTCGCAGGGTAACGCACGCGCTTGTGTCGCGACCTCTGACCCCGCGTGATGTCGCGATTCCTGCGTCGATAGATTTTTCGAATCGACGGATCGACCGCTCGAGTGGACGCGCTCCGATTCGACTCAGAATCGAGAGGAAGGAATCGCGCGATTGCGGCAACACTGTACGAGTGGTGCTGTGGTTGCACTGTCGCATTAGTGGCTCTGGTGGTGCTGTGTGGTGCTGTGTGGCTCTGGTGGTGCTGTGTGGTGCTGTGTGGCACCGGTGGTGCTGTGTGGTGCTGTGTGGCTCTGTGTGGCGCTGTGTGGTGCTGTGTGGCTCTGGTGGTGCTGTGTGGTGCTGTGTGGCTCTGGTGGTGCTGTGTGGTGCTGTGTGGTGCTGTGTGGCTCTGGTGGTGCTGTGTGGTGCTGTGTGGCTCTGGTGGTGCTGTGTGGTGCTGTGTGGCTCTGGTGGTGCTGTGTGGTGCTGTGTGGTGCTGTGTGGCTCTGGTGGTGCTGTGTGGTGCTGTGTGGTGCTGTGTGGCTCTGGTGGTGCTGTGTGGTGCTGTGTGGCTCTGGTGGTGCTGTGTGGTGCTGTGTGGCACCGGTGGTGCTGTGTGGTGCTGTGTGGCTCTGTGTGGTGCTGTGTGGCTCTGGTGGTGCTGTGTGGTGCTTTGTGGCACCGGTGGTGCTGTGTGGTGCTGTGTGGCTCTGTGTGGTACCGGTGGTGCTGTGTGGTGCTGTGTGGAACCCGGTGGTGCTGTGTGGCACCCGGTGGTGCTGTGTGGTGCTGTGTGGCACCGGTGGTGCTGTGTGCTATTTAGTGGTTCCGTTGTAGCAGTGGAGCAGGAGGACGCGCCTCACGGGACCCAGCACCAGTTCACGTGCGTGTACTGTGAGTGCTGCCTGTGTGTGATCCACGTGCGAGTTCTGTCTCTGTGTGTACTCTGTGCACCGCCTGTGTGTGATCCACGTGTGTGTTCTGTCTCTGTGTGTACTCTGTGCACCGCCTGTGTGTGATCTACGTGTGTGTTCTGTCTCTGTGTGTACTGTGAGTGCTGCCTGTGTGTGATCCACGTGTGTGTTCTGTCTCTGTGTGTACTCTGTGCACCGCCTGTGTGTGATCCACGTGTGTGTTCTGTCTCTGTGTGTACTCTGTGCACCGCCTGTGTGTGATCTACGTGTGTGTTCTGTCTCTGTGTGTACTCTGTGCACCGCCTGTGTGTGATCCACGTGTGTGTTCTGTCTCTGTGTGTACTCTGTGCACCGCCTGTGTGTGATCCACGTGTGTGTTCTGTCTCTGTGTGTACTGTGTGCACCGCCTGTGTGTGATCCACGTGTGTGTTCTGTCTCTGTGTGTACTCTGTGCACCGCCTGTGTGTGATCCACGTGTGTGTTCTGTCTCTGTGTGTACTCTGTGCACCTCCTGTGTGTGATCCACGTGTGTGTTCTGTCTCTGTGCGTACTGTGGGTGCTGCCTGTGTGTGATCCACGTGTGAGTTCTGTCTCTGTGCGTACTGTGTGCACCGCCTGTGTGTGATCCACGTGTGTGTTCTGTCTCTGTGCGTACTGTGGGTGCTGCGTGTGTGTGATCCACGTGTGAGTTCTGTCTCTGTGTGTACTCTGTGCACCGCCTGTGTGTGATCCACGTGTGAGTTCTGTCTCTGTGTGTACTCTGTGCACCGCCTGTGTGTGATCCACGTGTGTGTTCTGTCTCTGTGTGTACTCTGTGCACCGCCTGTGTGTGATCCACGTGTGTGTTCTGTCTCTGTGTGTACTCTGTGCACCGCCTGTGTGTGATCCACGTGTGTGTTCTGTCTCTGTGTGTACTCTGTGCACCGCCTGTGTGTGATCCACGTGTGTGTTCTGTCTCTGTGTGTACTCTGTGCACCTCCTGTGTGTGATCCACGTGTGTGTTCTGTCTCTGTGCGTACTGTGGGTGCTGCGTGTGTGTGATCCACGTGTGAGTTCTGTCTCTGTGTGTACTCTGTGCACCGCCTGTGTGTGATCCACGTGTGAGTTCTGTCTCTGTGTGTACTCTGTGCACCGCCTGTGTGTGATCCACGTGTGTGTTCTGTCTCTGTGTGTACTCTGTGCACCGCCTGTGTGTGATCCACGTGTGTGTTCTGTCTCTGTGTGTACTCTGTGCACCGCCTGTGTGTGATCCACGTGTGAGTTCTGTCTCTGTGTGCACCCTGTGCACCGCCTGTGTGTGATCCACGTGTGTGTTCTGTCTCTGTGTGTACTCTGTGCACCGCCTGTGTGTGATCCACGTGTGAGTTCTGTCTATGTGTGTACTCTGTGCACCGCCTGTGTGTGATCCACGTGTGTGTTCTGTCTCTGTGTGTACTCTGTGCACCGCCTGTGTGTGATCCACGTGTGTGTTCTGTCTCTGTGTGTACTCTGTGCACCTCCTGTGTGTGATCCACGTGTGTGTTCTGTCTCTGTGTGTACTCTGTGCACCTCCTGTGTGTGATCCACGTGTGTGTTCTGTCTCTGTGCGTACTGTGGGTGCTGCGTGTGTGTGATCCACGTGTGAGTTCTGTCTCTGTGTGTACTCTGTGCACCGCCTGTGTGATCCACGTGTGAGTTCTGTCTCTGTGTGTACTCTGTGCACCGCCTGTGTGTGATCTACGTGTGTGTTCTGTCTCTGTGTGTACTCTGTGCACCGCCTGTGTGTGATCCACGTGTGTGTTCTGTCTCTGTGTGTACTGTGGGTGCTGCCTGTGTGTGATCCACGTGTGTGTTCTGTCTCTGTGCGTACTGTGGGTGCTGCCTGTGTGTGATCCACGTGTGTGTTCTGTCTCTGTGTGTACTCTGTGCACCGCCTGTGTGTGATCCACGTGTGTGTTCTGTCTCTGTGTGTACTCTGTGCACCGCCTGTGTGTGATCCACGTGTGAGTTCTGTCTCTGTGTGTACTCTGTGCACCGCCTGTGTGTGATCCACGTGTGTGTTCTGTCTCTGTGTGTACTCTGTGCACCGCTTGTGTGTGATCCACGTGTGTGTTCTGTCTCTGTGTACTCTGTGCACCGCCTGTGTGTGATCCACGTGTGAGTTCTGTCTCTGTGTGTACTCTGTGCACCGCCTGTGTGATCCACGTGTGTGTTCTGTCTCTGTGTGTACTCTGTGCACCGCCTGTGTGTGATCCACGTGTGTGTTCTGTCTCTGTGTGTACTCTGTGCACCGCCTGTGTGTGATCCACACAGTCGCTTGAGGTGACAAGTTGTTAAAGAGGATATCGGGGTGGTGTTTTGCCCACAAATGTCAACATTTTATTTTATTGTTCGCAACGTGGCCAGGGTCGCCCATTTGCAGCATAATTTCTGTTCAAATAATTAAGGCAAAATGATAAGTGGCGTCGTTGTGGATTATATAAGAAACACTCGAGGAACACTCGATAAACAGACAATCCGGCTCCTTCCCATGTCTGCCCCTCCACACGAACACACGTTCTACACATTCCCCATCAGCCACAACGCGGCCTTCTGGGGAGTGCGAACTTTTCAGCTGCGTTGGTCCAACGCAAGCAAAACTCAGCACCCGCTTGAAATCGTCAGCTTTGCACAAAGTCGCATTGACTTGCTTTGCAGACGACCGCCGGACCGCGATGGTGGTGGAGGTGGAGAACTTCTTCGGCGTCTACATGCTCTACTGCACCAACCCAAAGTTCAAGGGTCGCATCTACGTGGGCTACACGGTGGACCCCGAGCGCAGGATCGGGCAGCACAACGGCGGGCGGCGCAAGGGCGGCGCCCTACGCACCAGCGGCCGTGGCCCGTGGCACGTCGCCTGCGCGCCACCGCCACCACTCTCGCATGCTGCAGTGGGACTCATAAATGCCCCCACCACGCCACACAAGATCCCGACCGTAGCGACTGAGCCTGAGCGCAAGGGGGGAGGGGGAGTGGTGGACTCGACCATCGCTCAATACATTCACGAACATTTAAAGTAATGAGGCAATGTTTTATATGCAGCGTGTGTATATTTGCAGACCTTATACACAATTGGATTCTGCGTGTGCTCCCACCGTAACCTTTGGGAGATCGCAAGCGTGATGGACAGACACTCGTTAACTATACATATATACATATAAGGTGTAGCCGTTAGGCTCGACCATGCTTCCTGCTGTAATGCCACGCGGGTTCAAATTCCATATTTGTCAACCCCTTATCAGTGCCCTCTCTTATTACAGACCAATTCAGACCTTATTGGTCACCCCCTGCCCTTATAAATCTCAACGTTCATCCTACAAAGTCCCATCACAAGGGAGAAACAAATATACATTTATTTCTGTACTCAATTTCCCTGTACAAGAATACGGGTAAACCGTATGGGTTGACAGGTATTACATTTTCACTCCCACCACGGCAATCGGGCTCGCTCCGGCCCATTTCCGCCCCCTGCGTACACATAATGTGTCATTGACAGAAATTGTAATTTTTTGTTAGGTGACATAATTTGGCCAAATCTGCGTCAAAAGACCCTCCGACGCAAGACACGGCCAAACCCATCAACTTACAACGTGAACAAGCGTTTAAGAGGCCAATTGTTGTTTCTGCTCACTGGCGTGGTGAAGAATAATTCTCACAATGTTTCGCAATTGGATATTACTTTTTCGCTTGAAACTGCATCAAATCATTTTGATTTCCTGCATTCCGCCCAGATGTGAAGGAGCTATGCCTGCACTTGCTCTGCTGTGAGTGAGTACCGCGGTGTTTCTCGCTTGTCGCGTGCAGGGACATGGTGCTCATCGTGCATGGATTTCCATCCGACATTGCAGCTCTGCGGGTGAGTGCCACATCTATCTGCAGCTGCTCCATACAAACACATCTTTTGCAGTTAGGTGTTGTTCTGTCATATAACCATCACACAAGCATTGTTCTAAGCAAGCCTGACTGCTGATGAGACGATGTCGAAAATCGGTCCAGAGGATTGCTTGTGTTGAACCGTCTGCTGAAATTATTCACTCCTAGAAGGCCATGTGGCTGATGGGAAGGGTACAATATACTTTTCATGTTTTTGTGTGAAGGGACAGATGTGGGAATGAGGCGAATGGCCTGCTTAGTTATTTCGGTCCTTTTCACCAGAAGCATTCTCCGCCCCGCGTCGCAGGTGTCACGTTCACGCGTTACTTTTGGTGCCGCGGTATGAACAAGCGTCTCCCCGGTCCCCAAACATCACAATGAAGGCTTCCGAAGCCATGACACTGATCACATGAATTTTAACTGTGAACCCTGTGGGAAATGACGTTCGTGGTGAAAGGGTGATGAAAGAGCGATTACCGTGAACTGGTGGTTCCCAACCTTGACCCGCGATTTCTGGAAACCATCAAACATACTTTGCGCATAACCATGCAGTAAAACTAAATCTGGTGTTTGGTGAAATATACTATGCAGGCCTTAATAGATACTCGCAAACAGTGCTTGCTCCAACAGTCCGGTAAGGTTATCGGGGTGGGGGGGTCTTTGTGTGTGCGTGTGTGCAGTTTGAGTGGGCGTGGCAGCACCCCCAGCGCTCACGGCGGCTCACCCACGTCGCACGGAAACACCGGTCCGGGAGTTGACGGTCTAATTGACAACGTACCCACACATTCAGTTCTTTTAAGCCAGTGATCTGGATAAGGCCGAGAGCTTCTGCACATGTGCGACGCCGCGGACCTCTCGTGTGTTGTCGCACTCCAGGTCCGAGAACTCCCTGCAGCTGCACTTGCGCGTGCTTTGGCACATGGTGCGTGTGCCGCCCTGGTGCCGCCTCCCGCTCACCCTGCGCTGGCTGCGCCCGGAGTACCGCGAGGACTTCCCCGTGGGCATGGAGCCGCCCCTGCACATGCCCGTGGCGTTTGGGCCCGTGCGGGCGAAGGCCAGGCCCTGCGGTGGCTCCCGAACGCAGCAGCAGCAGGGAGAAGTTGCGGTGCAGTCCATGAATCCGAGTCAAGCGACCGGCGCAGCAAGATGCATGTTATGTCACCAGCGCATCCAGGTACCACATGGCGCTGCCCAAAGCCAACAATGAAGTCAGAGTGATTTCTGAGCATGAGGCAGTACTCAGCTACTTGTGGAAATTCCTCATTACTACGGGAGGGGTGAGTCTTCCATCGGACAAATTGAATCTTCCCCACAAACTAGTACTAATTTATCGACCACTTTGCAATTTCCGCCCATCTTCTTTTCTCCCAAGATCTTATGATAACCTTACTCCATTCAAGAAACTTTTAAATACTACCGATTACAACTTTGGTCGTGTTGTTTGTTGCTGGCCGCTTGATGTTTTGAGCCTTTCATCCTCTGATTGGCGATGACTGTGTAACAAAAAAATCGTGAAGCATAAATGTGCAGCGCATTCAGGTAAAACAGGCGGTGGTGTGCAGTCGGTAGAATGTTCCTCTCTGTGCGTCGCGTGTGGCCGCGTACTGCGACGACGGGGAGCAGGAGGATGAGCGCATGTCGTGTTTCCACCCGGGCTGCCGTATGGAGGCCCACATCACTTGCCTGGCCCGGGACTTCCTGAAGACGGACCCTACACAGCTGCTGCCTGTCGAGGGCCAGTGCCCAGGGTGAGCCGGGCATCGGGACGTGTCGAAACTTGGGCGACCTTAAGCATTGTTATTTTTGGAGCTTGGAAACTCTCGCTGTTGCCGACTGGAAACTCCCACCCCGCTGTTCTCATTGTGTTCCCATTGATGGGTGATAACTGCTTTGTGGCTCCAGAAAGGTTGGGAACGGCTGTGTTCGAGCAAACGAGTGCGTGCGGAGAGGCTTCACAGAAGCACGCCTGGGTTTAGTAGCTTTGTCGAGAAACGTTTGCTTCGATATGCACCCTTTGATTTTTTTTCATTCCAAAAATGCCTTTAACGAGATGGGAACTTGTCAGCAAGAGTGAACTGGGTCACCACAATGAGAAAAGCAATGACTTTTAAACTCGGTACAACAATGAACCAAAGAGAGAAAAAAAATGCGACTGTGTTACAAAAGAGAGAAAAGAGCACACAAAACAAAAGACTCGATGAAAATATATTTGAAGTGACAAAATAATAGATCACGACGTTTCGATCGCAACACAAGCAATCGTCTTCAGGTGAAAAAGACGATTGCTTGCGTTGCGATCGAAACATCGTGATCTATTATTTTTTATATCTACGTGACTTTACCGAAAGAACCAAAGAGTATGGATTCCTGCAGTCACGAAAGCTTCAAATCAAGATTGAAGTGACAAAAGTTTATTTGAAAATCATTAATTGTAAAATGAAGTTAAAAAACCATCACAATAGACTATTGGACTCGTATGGTAACACAAGGACACCTGTCAAATAAGAGCACGCGTTGATGTTGTCATTTTGCACAGCTGTAAGAATGCAGTGCTGTGGGGGGATCTGGTGCGCTATAAGAATGGATGCTACGGGGACTTGGAGGAGATCATCCTATCGTCACAGGTATCTGATAACCACAACCAGACCTTATCCTCCCATTGAACGCCTTACGACGGGCACCAACCCCCACCCCTAACCTTCCACTCACAACACGAGTGCACGTGGCATGGCATTCTCACAGCGCGGTGTGCAGTGGTTTCGCATGAGGGAGCGATGTTGCCATCTCATCCCAATCGAGTCGTTTGCATTGTAAATTCCAAAATGCGAATAGCGATAACACTTTGTCTGTCGTCCCGACAGTTCTGTACCTTTCACCTGAAGACGGCCGCTTGCGTTGTGGCCGAAACGTCGTGAGAATTTTATTGTGTTATTTTATTAGTTAATTCTCATTCTACGTGACTTTACCGAAAGAACCAAAGAAGACTTCTCTTTCAGCTTCTTCCCTTGCACTGCTCCACTTTGGAATTGCTTCTCATCGTCTATATTTTTCCACCGAGATCTAAATTAAAGAAACGTGTTACCTTATTATCTGTTGCAACTTTGAAGTGCTGTTTGTAGCTGTTCCGGCTTGATGTATTAGGTTTATTGGGCCGTGGTTGTGGAGCAATAGTGTAGCATCGGTTAGGGACCAATGTCTCGGTTTGTATCTGATGAAGCCCCCCCGTGTTGGATTCCACACGGTGACGGACGTGTTCACAGTGCTCCTGTATGTTCGTGCGTGTGTTCTAGGCTCACTGGGCAGACGAGGTGCAGTTCTGAGCCAAGGTGAATGAACGACGAGAACGGGTTTGTGGGGCTGCGTTTAGACGTTTGTTGGCATCCCAAAGACACAGCGGAAACGCACCATGGGTTGGGGTTTTGTGTCACTAATTCTTCAGAACATCAAAAATATTATAACAATTTTCTTCCTTTCCATCTGTCCTTTCTCAAAATAGAAATCATTTCAACACATCCCATTAGCCACACGGTCTTTTGGGATTGTATAATTTCAGCATTGGCGCTACACGAGCAAACTTAAGTTACAGTACTTCCAGGCTACTGCTAGGCTACTGCCTCGTGAGTTTATGTAATATAGCAGCTGGGTCTCATGTAACTCTGAAATTAACAGACACGAGCCATTCCTGTCAAGTTTGCTGTTTAAATCTTGCAGTGCAGAATGTTCTTCCCAGCTGTTCAACATTTCTTGATAAACTTGAATATTTTTGTGACTTGTTGAAAAATACATACAATATACCTGCAAGACTGTATGATAGTTGCCTATTACTTTTCTGTTCATTACTGCATTTTTTAAATAAATTATGTCTGTATCAAGACAGGTGCTGGCTTCACCTACTCAAAGCACTGGAGACTCGGTTCGATTCCAGACTGGGGTGAGAGGTTACAGAGTATGGGATGCTCCCCGGTATCTGCACGCACGGATATTTTCCGGCCTGTGGTGTCTCTCGCGCATGTGAAGGTATCCCAGGCAGCTGAATAATAGAGCAGTCTCTTGGTGGCAGTGGTACAGCAAGTGGATTAATCTCCATCAGTGCAGGGATTGTGTACCCGCTTCGCACATGCAGGCTTACTACAAAGTATACATTAATTCGTGTAGTTGACCAAACATCCCAATATAGGATCACAGAGCTTGGGCAATTCTTGGCACCGTTTCTGGTTGTCTGTGGTATCCCACGTGAACACAAACACCGATTCTCAGACTGCCCCAAAATTTGGGTCTGGGTGGCAGCAATTAATTTGTGCCGGTGTTGTGTTGAACACGCGTCCAATATAATGCAAAGTTTTGGTTGTCGACCTCACCTTCTGAGACACGTGGGGGTTTGTGCCTTGGAAAAAGTGGAGACTCCAACCAGGGGTCCAGACAAGTGTTTTGGTTTGTGCATGCACACCACTGCCAATGCATTTTAATTGTACCATGGGAGGTGTAAACAGCTGTACATACGATCTTTACAATGTGATATGGAAAGCAAGAACAATTCATTTACAAAAGATCAGTTACTGAAAACCCAAGCTCAAAAGGACTGCATGTGAAGTGGCTTGAACGTGTTGGTCTCAACATGGAAATACCTGGCAACGTTTCCCGTGCCTCGAATAGCAGATCAGCTTGCCACAATTACAAATACGCAATTCACATTTCTGCACGTGGTAATGCATTGGACACCAGTGAGGTGAAACTTTAGAATGGGTCCATTTCCAGGGTTACTTTGCATCAGGGTTTGGTTACCAGGCACACCTCATCATCGCACACCAAGGCCGTATTCTCAGTTGTGGCTCGGCCTCGAACGCTCGGGTTCAGCTTGGGCTCGAGCTGCTCAGCCGCTTCCAAAGACGTGGCGAGTGACTCAGCCGTGGCTTGGCTCGGAGGGGAAATTGAAATCCTGAGCGTGGATAGGAACACACTCGGAGCCGCCAACAGTTAAAACACCTGGCTCGGAGCCCGGCTTGCTCGAGCCAGCGCCAGGACGAAGAATACGGCCGGAGGGCTCTGCGGCTCGTCGGGGTGTTCCTGTCCCGCGACAGCGAATGCACCCCGCGCGTCAGCCTCTCGTCAGGCCTCTCACTCGTCAGGCCTCATTAAATATCCCTGAGACTCCCTCCACGTGCATTTCTTCACATGGGCATCACGTGGTTATTCCTGCAAACCTAGAAGTAGTGCCGCTCGCGACTCGGACCTCCCGCCGAGTCCAAACAGGTCGCCGGTTCGACTCCATCTCCCAGCACGGCAGTTAAAACAATGGGGGCGAGTTTCTAAAATCCACCCTCTGAACACCAAGCGGTAAACATGCTCGGCAGGTGACGTATATGGGGGGGGGGGGGGGTTAAAGTGTGAAAGAGTAGACCAAACACCATTTACAAGTTCCCTCCAGTGGAGGCCCTTCCGCCAGCAGTTATGTTAATGTTACAATTGTGGTTTTAATTTTTGTTATATATATTAATTTGTCTTCTAAACACATTGTTAGATTTTATGGTTTACTCCATGCAGGCAGTTTTCCTTTTACATCCTAGTGGTGATGGATTAATGGTGTGATGCACTCGGAAGGGGCGACAGTGGAACGTGTCACGGGTCATGGGGCACGCGCCATGGGTGATCGGTCACGTCCTCCGGCTCTTGGGCTTCTTCAGCAGCTTCTTGGCGTCCTCCACAGCCGGGGCGGCTCCGAACGGAGGCCCCATGGCCTGCACGGCCTGCACACGGCTTCCCAGCTGCCATAGCATGGGCAGCGCCTGCTCCGTGGCACACACGGCACAGGCACAGAACAGTCGCCACACAGGACGTTAGGCATCAATCCACAATATGCCAGACCTCTGTAGACTAAGACGAGGCATCTGACTTGGTGGAAATTGACGCGGTTATCAAAGCTCTCGCAAACCGAGACCTAAATAGAACATTTAGAAGGAATAAAAACTTTACAAGAACGTAAGCGCTGCACTGAGACTGCGACGTCGCTATTTCCCAATTGAGTCATTTGTGGTGTCATTTTTCTCAGGTTTGGACCACGACACGAGCACACAAAGTCTACTCGTTTCGAAATGCACGTGATCTTTAATGTCCATTGTGAGAACGAAGCAGACGACTCGTGATATTTTCTCGGCTGATAACGTGCAGTATTAACCGGGGTGGCCTGTCGGCATCGAACTGTCAACGTCTGTGACAAGCGGCGAACGCACTGCCGCACTGCCGCATGGCGGCCCAGGGCAGCTGTTGGTAAAAGCCGCACGACAGTGCCAGCCGTCCGTGCTACTGCACGGCACCACCGGCACGCCTCCGCAACGCCTCAATGGGGCCCGTGTGCAGCCACCTTTCACAGTGAGCTGCTTACTCAGCATCACCACCACCATCCCTCCCCGTGTTTGACTCGCTCATCAGAACGTGCATATTGTTTAAATAGTGCACAAACGTGTACATATGTGAATGATTATTTCATTTTATATGGCGTCATTCACGCTAATGGCATTCACCACGCTGTACATTAATTATATATGAGACATTGTTACCCAACTTGTATGTAAATTGTTGAATGTATTGTTAATTATACACACCGTGACCCGGAGACTTTGGTGATATTTGTTGTCTAACGTACGCCGCAAAAATGCACCCGTGTCCAGAGAGGGAGAGCAGTGAGGTGGCGGGGAGCACAGAGACACACCGCGGAGTTTATCAAGCCACGCAAGGGGGGAAAGTCGCGACGGTCACCTTGTCGTGGTTGTAGATGGCGATGAGCAGCAGCAGTGTGAGCGGCAGGGCCAGGTACGAGCCCTGTGACGCCTCCTGCTCCATCGCTTTCCTCTGCACGCCACGCCACGTCGCGCCGGTCACGTTTCACGCCAGAGGCACAGCCGTCGTTCACCCACGAACGTCTCATCGAGTCTCAGGACTCTTTTGCGGGAGGGCCTTGCCAAGTTTTTCACAGTAGGGGCAATGATTGCCATGTGCGCGATCCCAATTGAGTACTTTGTGGTGTCACGAAATGTTTTTGTGCAAATTTGGGCCACCGACGCCGGCACACAACGGCCTGCTCTTGAGAATGACATCCTGGGACATTTAACGTCCACTGAGGCAGACGGAGCGTTGCAATTGACAGTTAACACTCCGCCGGTTAAAACCAGGGCGGCCTGGAAGATTAGAACAGCGGAACTCCGCACCGAGCGGCAAAGGCGCTACCGCCGGGCCGCGTCGCCGCCCCCACAGGTCGCGAGTCGCGGCTCGTGCGCGTCGCGTACCGCTAGCGGCGGACCGGGCACGGCTCGCGCTGCTCTCACCCGCGGGGAGAAGGAGAGCGTCACGTGCTTGTGGAAGCCCGCAGTGCTGAAGGAGACCTCGGGGAGCGAGAACTCGTAGAGCGCCCGGGGCAGCGAGGACTCGAGCGCCATCGTGTAGCTCTGCAACGGAACCGCGGCCGCACGGCCGGAGCGCTCAACGTCTCCATGCTGCACGAGTGTCGGGGCCAGCCCTGCCGATACACGGTGGACTTTGAAGTTACTAAGAATAAAGTTAAATGTTGGTTTTTACCAAATAACGTGGGTTCCTTCTAAATGTCATCAATAAAGAAAAGTAGTAAATATCCATACCTTTACCCCAACTCACTCTACTCACTTCCCACACACTCTCCTGCCTTTTCTCCTCTCATCTCACTCTACTCCCCTTCACACACTCTCTGCTTCAACAACAAAGGCCTCCTTTCACCGCCCCGAGTCAACTGTTGCTCTGTGGAAGGTCGCCAATTCTCCTCCTTCTCGTCTGCTGCCCAACATAGTCTGGAACTCCCTTCCCCCAGATGTCCGCGCTGTCCTGACGTGGATGAGAGCCCCCCTTCCCAGAGAGAAGAACCACTCGTGGTCTCTACCTGTAGTTTCTCTGGAAAAAAACATAGTTCTTTTGGCCATAGACATACATCTGATAATCATGACAGTATCTCTGCCAAACGAGAACAGGAAGTGTGACAGGAGGACAAGCGCTCCCACAGATGCTCCCCGAAGCCGCAGCACCACCCACCTCTCCGTCCCTCTGCAGAGGAGGGAAGTGGAAGAATGATGACTGGGTCAGAGAGAGCGTCTGGAAGGGCGTGTCCAGGTTCTCCCCACGATACAGCACCACCTGGAACACGCCGTCATGCTCGCTCGCTCACGTATTCCTCACGCCATCCGCCACGCCAACACACCCCAGCGTTTGGGGTCGACGTTCCCATGGGCCCAGCATCGGAGACAGAATTTTACTTCCGTGGACGAACTGGACGTTGCTTTCATTGCCAGCGTGCATCTCTCTGTGCTGCTCTGCGCACGTTCCACTCTGTTTATCTGTGTCCGTGTTCCTGATCCGCGTCACGGCGGGAAGTTCTCGCCGATTAAAAACTTTCTTCTTCAGGCACAGGCGTCC